AGTTAGCGAGTTTCCTAATGTCTTTCCAGAGGAGTTGTCTGGTTTACCTCCTGATAGAGAGGTAGAGTTCGAGATAGAGACTTATCCGGGATCTGTACCTATTTCTATGGCACCTTATCGCATGGCCCCAAAAGAACTTAAGGAGTTGAAGGTCCAATTGCAAGAATTATTCGATCGAGGATTTATTCGGCATAGTACTTCACCATGGGGAGCTCCAGTTCTGTTCGTGAAAAAAAAGGATGGGTCGCTAAGATTATGTATTGACTATCGGAAGTTGAATCAGATGACGGTCAAGAATAAATATCCACTACCCAGGATTGATGACTTATTTGATCAGTTGCGAGGAGCTATTGTATTCTCTAAGATTGATCTTCGTTCGGGTTATTATCAATTGAAAGTTAAAGGATCTGATGTTGCCAAGACGGCCATTCGCACTAGATATGGTCATTATGAATTCTTAGTGATGCCTTTTGGTTTGATGAATGCTCATGCAGCTTTCATGGATTTGATGAATCGGGTGTTCCGACCATATTTGGATCAATTTGTGGTGGTCTTTATTGATGATATTCTAATCTATTCTCGTACTGAGGTTGAGCATGATGAGCATTTGAAAATCGTTTTGCGGACTTTGAGAGAGCATCGTCTATATGTCAAACTAAGCAAGTGTGAATTTTGGCTTCAAGAAGTGTCGTTTCTGGGGCATATTATTTCTGCACGAGGTATTCAGGTCGATCCAAGCAAGATCGAGGCTATTGTGAATTGGAAACGACCCAAGAATATCTCTGAAATCTGCAGTTTCTTGGGCTTGACTGGTTATTATCGACGTTTTGTTGAGGGCTTCTCGATCATTGCTTCTCCTTTGACAAAGTTGTTAAGGAAGAATGTGCCGTTTGACTGGGGTAAGGCACAACAGGAGAGCTTTGAGAAATTAAAGGCAGTATTGACTCAAGCACCAGTGTTGATTCAACCAGAGTCCGGGAAGGATTTTACAGTGTATAGTGATACGTCACACTCAGGACTCGGATGTGTTCTAATGCAGGAAGGTAAGGTGGTGGCTTATGCATCCCGTCAGCTGCGACCGCATGAGTGTAATTATCCTACTCATGATTTGGAGTTAGCAGCAATGATTTTTGCCTTGAAGATTTGGAGACACTATCTTTATGGAGAGAAGTGTTACATTTTCACGGATCATAAGAGTTTAAAGTATCTTTTGACCCAGAAGGAGCTTAATTTGAGACAGCGACGCTGGCTAGAGCTTCTAAAGGATTATGATTGCGTGATTGATTATCACCCTGGTAAAGATAATATTGTAGCGGATGCTTTGAGTCGAAAGACGGTAACAGAGTTGAGATCTTTAATGGCCAGGATGAATTTATATGACGATGGCACTCTGTTAGCAGAATTACAAGTTAAACCGACCTTGGTTGATGAGATCAAAGCTAAGCAGTCCCTTGATAGCTCCTTGCTTTCCATCTTTGAGCTAGTAGAGCAAGGGACAAGCTCAGATTACGCCCTTGATCGGGATGAAGTTTTATGCTTCAAAGGTCAGTATTGTGTGCCGGATGATGCTGAGTTGAGGCAGAATATCCTCACGGAGGCTCATAGTAGTCCATATGCTATGCACCCCGGTGGAGATAAGATGTATCGAAATTTGAGAGAGAGGTATCATTGGGTCGGCATGAAGAAGGACATCTCGAATTTTGTGGCGAGGTGTTTGACTTGTCAGCAAGTTAAGGCGGAACATCAACATCTATCAGGTTTATTACAACCTATCAAGATTCCTGAATGGAAATGGGAGCGTATTACTATGGATTTTGTTACTGGTTTACCTATGACTCCTTCGAAAAAGGACTCAATTTGGGTGATTGTTGACAGACTTACAAAGTCAGCTCACTTCATTCCTGTACGGGTAAATTATACGTTGGACAAGTTGGCGAGGTTGTATATTTCAGAGATTGTTAGATTGCATGGTGTTTCGTTATCTATCATTTCAGATCGAGATCCGAGATTTACTTCGAGATTTTGGAAGGCGCTACATACGGCTTTGGGTACGAGATTGAATTATAGTACCTCCTTCCACCCACAAACTGATGGTCAATCTGAGAGAGTAATTCAGATTCTGGAGGATATGTTACGGGGTTGTGTAATCGATTTTCATGGTAGCTGGGAGAACTTTTTGCCTTTGGCTGAATTCGCTATTAATAACAGTTACCAGACCAGCATTCGTATGGCACCCTATGAAGCACTCTATGGGCGTAGGTGTCGCACCTCGATTTGTTGGACCGAGTTGCGTGATAGGAAGACTTTGGGACCTGAGTTAGTGCGGGAGACAGAGGACACAGTCAGATTGATCTGTGACCGTCTGAAAGAGGCATTTGATAGGTAGAAATCTTTTACAGATCAGAGAATGAAAGATATACAGTTTGAGGTTGGAGATCAGGTCTTTTTAAAAGTTTCACCCTGGAAGAAAGTATTGAGATTTGGACGTAAGGGTAAACTGAGTCCGCAATTTATTGGGCCGTATCGTATTTTGAAGAAAGTTGGATCTGTTGCTTATCAGCTCGAGTTGCCTTCCCATCTTAGTCGTATTCATGATGTTTTTCATGTGTCTATGTTAAGGCGATACCGTCCAGATCCAAGTCACATCATTCAGGTTGAGGAAGTAGAGCTGAGACCTGATTTATCATATGAGGAGGAGCCCATTCAATTCTTAGAAAGAGATGAGCGAGTTATTCGGAATAGGCGTATTCCAATGGTCAAAGTTCAATGGAGTAACCGAGGCCTCTCAGAAGCTACTTGGGAGACATTGGAGTCAATGGAGGCTCAGTTTCTCAACTGTTCTCATAAGGTAAATTTCGAGGACGAAATTTCTTGTAGAGGGGGAGAATTGTAACAACCCGAATATTTACAAAATAATATTTAATTGAAATTGGAGGTTAATTGTGAAAATTGGTAAATTGTTTGTGACTAAATCAAAATTTATGAGAGTTTATAGGTCATTTTAGAAGTGAAGGAAATCCAAGAACCAAGCCTTGAATTTACCCTAAAACTGTCGGCAGCTTTGATTATAAGCGTGCATTTGGTTCTGATTTTCAGAACCAAAATGCTCCCAATTTTCCTTTCCCATACGCAGTTTCCAACTCCGATTCCGACGCCGTCCAATTTTCCTTTGACCAAAACTTAAAATGGCTTTGACCGGCCCTTAAACGACCGTAAATCTTTTCCGAGTATACTTATTCTGATATTTTTCGACGTCCCGAATCCATTTCCGAAGTCCGTTTCTTCAAATTCGAACCCGAAGGCCTCCAAATCAACGGTCAAAGTGGTTGGCTTTGACTTTGACCAAGAATTTGAATTTTTGAAAAGTCATACTTTATGTTTTTCGACGTCCTGATTCCGATTCCGCAATTCGTTTGGCCAAATTCAGACTCGAACTACCCCAAAATGATAGTCAAACCCGAAAAATGCTTATATACTTAAGAATTTTAGCTTTGAATAATTAAGTAATATTTGGGGTTGATTAATTATTATTGTTTGAAGGTACAAGAGACTCTCCTGATCGTTCGACAGCTCGACTCAGCTCTTCTAGATCAGTTAAACCACGTATATCAGTATTCACCCGTGCAAAAATTGTAACAGAGCGTGGTGAAACCACAATCAGTAGATCTACTATCTGAACCCATTATCGAGGTGTGTTCTTGTTTACTACATAATGGTTTTATATGTTTTGAAATATGGTACATTGAAATCTATGGATTATTATTGTTGGTACACCGATTTATTGTTGATGATTTATGGACTTTGATGACTGGTATATGGATATTGATTTTGGGATGGATTGAACTACAATTGTATAGCTCTGATCAAGCTAATAAACGGGCCTAATGTGACTCTTGAGGGCCCCAAGATGTTTCATTAGGTCGACTTTCCTTTGCTGTGTGCTTAGCGTAAGCTATATGGACTTATTGACTTGGGCTTAAGGATGCAAGCATCATAGCCTATCCTTAAGTCGACTTTCTTTTTGCTATGTGCATAAAGTAAGCTATATGAAAAATAATTTTGGGAACTACTTATGGTGTACCAAAAAAGGGTTTAAACTATGATTTTCAAAAGTTAAACTCTTTTACGAATTTGTGAGATTTACTGGACTATGATTTGTTTAATGCACCTATTGTGATTTTATGGTAATGTTGGGACAAACTTAGCATAGCTCACCTTTCGAAAATATTTTTTTCCCTTTCAGATACTGTTGGTTAGATAACTCGGTTCGAACACTTGGAGGATCAACATATCTCTTGAAGTATATCTGATTGTAATATTTTAAACTTGCAAGTTAACTTTATTCTGGTGACATGGATCTATTTTAAAGTATTGGATTTTATAATGATGATACTTTTGTTATTACTATTCAGTTTATCGTGATTTTGATTTTTAAGATAGATTTTAAATTAATTTATTACTGATTGGTTTTATATTTAAGAGTTGAGTTTTAATAGTATAATTTATTATAATTTCATGTCATGAATAATGTGGTTTTACATTGATTGGATAACGGTTTCAGAAAATGTCTTTAAGAATCATGTATGTGATCTATTAACTTAGTTGAAACGCATAGGCCGGGTCTAGGGGATTACATCCAGCCCTCAAATCAATTACATAGGGAGCTGATGTATCATTTTACCTTTACCAGCTACACAGATTCTATAAAGTAGGAGATACAATCCATTATCCAAATTCAAAAACACGAACACTATGATATTAGTATGGACAATCCTGGTCCAAGTATTGCCCAACTTGCTAAATAAAATAGGTCATAGATTCAAACCTCCGGTGCGTAAATAAATTACTCATCTTTGCACAGAGGCCTAAACGCCTTCGGCTCTATGAACCAAACATGATTGATAGAGGCAACCCAACCCAACACAAGGACAATATCAATTCTATTATCTAGCTTTCATCTCTGATGTTTTTCATCTCTGCCATTCTGACAGACAACAAAATCAAAAACCCAATTCATAAAATTGCCACAAAGCCAGTAATAATGTAAACAAACACCAACGGATGTCAGAAAAATGGTTTAACGTTTCAGTATATTTGAATAAACACAGAGAACATCATAAAATCTCAATTGTCTGCAACATACTGGGGGAATTCTTCAACACGAGATAACAATGGAGTCTATAAACACTTTCTTGCAAGGGCTCGAACTTTTGTGTCGAAATGCGATGAAGTAATCCGGGAACCAGGCAGGTAGAGTGGATTTAGAAGGATCTGCACATTGCCAATATTTTAGTGACTGGAAATCAGTCCAAATACGCAAGATGCACAAAAAATTTACAGCAAAAGAATTAGGTGTTAATCTTGTACTTGAATGAAGTTTGGAATAAGCTTTAAATATTAAGGGTGCAGCACACAAATGGTCCTCTGACTATAGGGTATTATTTTGTTGAGTCCTCTAACTAATGAAAGTTACACAATGGTCCTTCGACTATAGGGTGTTGATTTGTTGAGTCCCCAACAAATAAAAAATACAAAATGGTCACTCAACTACTCATATGTTCCAAACTCGTCATTTTTTGTTAAAAAATTGTCGATTGTCTGAGCTAGATATTAACATGTTGACTAGGATATGATAAAATTTGATCTCATAACCGTTTCGACTATATAGTCGTTTGAGATTTTGAGATCAGATTTTTACCATATCCCAGTCATCAAGTTTACATCCAGCTCACACTACCGTCAATTTTTAAGAGAAAATGTCGAGTTTGGAAATATATGAATAGTCCGATGACCATTTTGTAACTTTTAATTGTCAGAGGACTCAACAAAACAACACCCTATAATCGAAGAACTATTTTGTAACTTTCAATAGTCATGGGACTCAACAAAACAATACCCTATAGTCGGGGGACCATTTGTGTACTTTACCCAAAAATTAAATCCTCTTTTTTAATTTAAAAATCCCAGTTTAATAATACATGCAATCATGCCATTATTATTAACTAAGCATACATGATGGTATGATGAGCCAATTTTGACAAAAATACTAACGTTATCAACAATAGAACTGGAGATCTTTTAATCAAATAAAGTAAAAGGATTTAACTCATAATTTTTTAAAGTGTAGGGGCTTAATGTCAAACATTGCTACAGAACAATCACTGGCAGCATATTTTGACCCAAAAGTTGCAGAAGGTGTTTTCCAGATCCATACATATACAACACGAGTATGCTCAGTAATCAAAAGATTATATGTCGAACATGGACAATTTAAGAAAAAAAGATGAATCAGACAACCCAACTGGAAAGTCCCCAAGAAAAAATAAAGATGATTTAAAGCGGGAAATCAGCATATAGAGTGGATTAAGAAGGATCTGCCCATTACCAAGATTTAAAAGTAGAAGAATCAGTCAAAACGTGAAAGAAATGAGGACTTTGTCACAAAAATTACGATAGAAAAACAATGTTACCTGACTCAAGTGTTAGATACATCATACATGTGCATGTACTGTATGAATATGCTCAATTTTTTTACAAGTTTTTTTTTTTTGATAGAAAATTAGACCTCATTAAAAAACCCCTTCATACCCTCGATGTTGCAACAATAACATGAAGGACATTGGAAGGAGGAAAAGAGTGCCTATGAATTTTATTAATCAGAACAATAATACACAGCCAGTACCAAACATCCTACTGATACTACATAAAACTGAAAAGAAACACCCCACAGAAAACAAACATTTCCCTACACCTTAACAAACCAAAAACATAACCTAATAATCAATCAATACCATCTTTAGCTAACTTGTCCGATTCCCAATTAGTAGCTCTCAGGACATGCCTTGAAATAATATCTTGTCCTTCCATACGAGAAGCTATATCTTTCGCCAAGGACTGAAACATAGGGGTGCATAAATCCAGATTTTTAATCCATTTCAGTGTTGTACTAGAATCCGATTCTATAATAACCCTCTGACTTAGGGTAGATCCCAATTCTTCAAGAAGAATCAACCCTCTCTTAATGGCCAATAGTTTTGCCAGTATAGGAGGCCCGCCCCCAACCCTTTCTGAAAACAGCTCGATCAACATACCTCTACTGTCCCTAATTAGTCCATCTATTCCTCATTTATCCCATCCCCTCACCATCGCACCATCTACATTAAGCTTAAAGAAACCATCCGGAGGAGGAACCCACCACGTTGAAGGAGAACAACCCTTTTTCTGTCTTCCCACTGAATCAACTAATTTTAAATCTCCCACTAAGGAGTCAAACGGGATATGCACATCCTTAAATCTAGAACCAAACCAAGTAGATGTTCTAAATCGAACAAGAAAGAAAAACAATGTTGCATCCGCCTTCCCTTTTTGAAAAATTACCTCGTTCCTGCATTTCCAAACCGTCCACATCACCGCCCTTGGAATGGATTTCCAAATAATGGATTTCAAAAGTAAGTCATCCCACAAAATGATGAAATCAATCATATTCTTTGGAACCACAAAGGAAACATTCCAAAAATTCAAAAATCTAGACCACAGACCCCATAATACCTCACAATGCAAAAAAAAATGTGAAACCGTTTCTCTATATCTACGACACATCGAACATAAGGGCTCTCAATCCCAGCCACTCCTCGCTTCAACAATTCCTCCTTAACCGCCACTCTTTGGTGTGCAACTTGCCAAACAAAAGTCTCCACACGGGGGTGTAACCCTTACCTAAATATGCCTTTCCCAAGTACCATTCCCCTCATTAGCAGCCTGGTCAAAAAAATTCTTGATGCAAGATTTAGCTAAATAACAGCCCTCTCCATTCCCTACCCATATCCAGCAGTCTTCTTCATAAGGAGACAAATTGATATTATTCAACGACAAGATAAGCTGTAACCATTATTCATCCTCCCAATCCACCAAGTTCCTTCTCATTTGAATATCCCACACCAAACCCAAAGCATTATTCACCTTGAACTCTACAACTTTACCCCCTTTATTATTCGAGAGAGCAAAAAGCCTCAAAAACTGATCTTTAAGGGGAATTACTCCCAACCAAACATCATGCCAAAACTCCACTGATTCTTCATTTCCCGTTCTCAAATGCAAATTTTTCCTTAGACAATCCCCAAATCCATCACAAGAAAAGAAATTTTTAACTTCTTTCCAAATCCAAGAGGCACGTGCTATCCAAGAATTCCCAATCATATTGGAGTTCGAATCCAAATTATACACACAACACACCACTCTTTTCCACCAAGAAACCTTTTCTATAGCAAATTTCCATACCCATTTCCCCAGAAGGGCCCTTTCAAAAGTAACAAATTCGGAATCCCTAGACCCCCAACCTCTTAGGCTTACACACCAAATTCCAATTCACCCAATGAATGTTCCTTTTTCCTGTCGATTCCCCCAAAAAAAAGGATGCCATGATAGAATTTAATTTATTCAACACAGAACAAGGCATTCGAAAGATAGAAAGAAAATAAATGGGGAGGGACAACATTGATTTTACCAACACCACCCTGCCATCCATAAAGAATTTGCCTTCCATCCAGTCAACTTGTTGTGAAATCTCTATACAACTGGCTCCCACAAGGAAATCGAATTTCTCTTGGTCCCCAAGGGTAAGCCTAAATACTCCGATGGAAAATATCCCACTGAACAACCAATTTCCTTAGCCCAAGAAACTACCACCTCCTCCTCAACATTAATTCCAAACAATCTGCTCTTAGCTAGATTTAACTTCAATCCCGCCAACAATTCAAAAATTAGAAGAACCCTTCTAACATTCAGCAAATCACAAATAGAGGCCTTGCTAAAAATTATAAGATCATCCGCAAATTGCAAATGCGACAGCTTGAAGGAACGATCATGAACACCTAACTCAAGACCCAAAAACATTCCCTTGTCCACTGCTTTAACTAACAAGTGTAACAATTCGGCCCCCAAATTAAACAACATAGGAGAAAGCGAACAGTCCTGTCTTAATCCTCTTGCAGTGTGAATTTTCTCCGTAGGTGTCCCATTCACTAAAACCGAAATGGAAGCTGTTGACATACATTGATAAATCCATGAACGCCATTTATCACCAAACCTCATTTTACCCATTATTTTCATCAAGATCAACCAATCCACCGAATCATAGGCTCTCTTAAAATCCACCTTAAAGGCTGCACCCTTCAATCCTTTCTTCCTCCACAAATCAATTCCTTCATTTGCAATAAACGAACAATCCATTATGTGTCTCCCCGGAATAAAAGCAAATTGTGACGGACTTATTATCTCATTGATGCACAAACTCAGACTTCTAGCTAAAGACCTTTGAAAGGATTTTATATAACCCTCCAACGAGGCTAATTGGCCTAAAATCTTCTAGCCCCTCCGAATTAGCCTTCTTAGGTATAAGAGAGATGAAAGAATGATTCACTTCCAAATTCCACTCCTTCCCCTCATAAAACTCCTTAAAAACATGATATTTTCTTTTAAATTTGGCCAGAATTTCTTGAAAAACCCTAAATTCAGCCCATCAGGGCCAGGAGCTTTATTGTTATCCGAATGAGCAATTGTTGCCCATATTTCCTCTTCAGAAAATGGCTTCTCAAGAGCCCTACTATGCTCTTTCGAAAGTTTCAAAAACTCCAAATCCAATTCCTCAACCTCCAATGTATTCTTATGGTTAACTCTTTAAAGAACTCCACCACCGAAGCTTTAATTAAGCTAGGATCAGAGGTAACTTCATTACCCACCTTGAGGGACTTAATACAGTTCCTCCTCCTCTAGCTCCAGCACTTTGATGAAAGAATCTTGTGTTCTTGTCTCCTTCTAAACTCTACTTCAACCTTCACTTTTGAAACCAAATTGATTCTTCTTTCTTATAAAGGTCCCACAATTCTTTTTTTGCTTCAACTAATGAATTCATTGACACCGTGGAAAGACCTTGTTGCGTAGCCAATTCCCTCTCCTGAATTTCTTCCTCCAACCTACTGATTTTTCCTGGCAGCTCAAGATAACCCTTCCTCGACCATCTCTTTATCGCATCCTTCACCCCTTTTAGCACACTGGAAATGGACTTCCTCTTTTCTTCTTTACAGAGATTAACCAACTCCCCCTCCATCATCTCACCAAACCCATCCTCCTCCAAAACATAATTAAACATCATGAACGGTTTAGGACCCCAATTACATTCACTATTCTCCAACATAATCAAATTATGATCAGAAACAGGCCTTGACTGTTGTATTTGGTTTATCTTGAGAAATAAAGTTAGGAACCTCTGATCTACCAAGAAACGATCCAACCTTACATACATCGGGACTTCCCTATTATTACACCATGTAAATCGACCTCCAGACAAAGCAAATCAATCAAATTAGCTTTACTCACAAAATCTCTGAAAATATTCATTGATATCAAATTCACAGCACCTCCATCTTTCTCTTCTTGAGACAAAACAGTATTGAAATCTCCTCCTAAACACACTGGGCAATCAATATTTTCCAAAAAGAATAATAACTTCCTAAAAAACAGCTCCTTTTCCGCATCCACGCTCGGACCATACACATTAACGAAACAACAAATCCCTGAAATTCCTTCCATAATTCCCTTTATTGCCACAAATCTCCTATGAATAACTTCCTTCCTTCACAACAAACTCCTCATTCCACAAGGTTATTAATCCACCAGCAGAACCTTCAGCAAGAACTACTGCCGAACCACTCAGAATTTTTCCTCCCATTTTTTTTTACAAGTTTTTAAACATTGAAGGATTATATCTCGCATCCAAATCTGAAAACAAGTGCCAGACATGAATAGTTCAAGGAAAATGAAAATTTCAGGTAATGTAAGTATAGTATGAAACAAGAAAATTCCATATGATGCTAATAGAAAAAGGCATTAAAATGGAAAAAGATACACAGGAAATCTTTAGAGCAGTTTACTATGAAAAATATACAAGACTTTTATAAACCTTTCCAAGTAAATATGAAGCAGCCTTCGGAATCTTGTAGTGCAAGTTTGAATTGTGTTATTAACAGATGTCCACAAAATGAAAACCGAGATTGTATCAAAGAAATTAACACATCCGAACAACTAAAGCATTACAACAGAAAACAAACAGTACACCAAGAAGAATGAAAAAAGAATCAACGAAGACCTAAAGGAAATTAACTGTCAAAATGAAAAGTATTCCGAAATTTTCCAAGAGAAAGGGGTTAACAGGAGAAATGGGAGAAGTAATTACCTTTATATAAAGCTCATGAACCTCTTGGAAAAAGCTCTTGATTCCATCTTCATTACGAGAGTCATGAAGTAGCATAAATCGTGTATGTATGATTAAGTCAAGGAAATCATAAATCAGAACTAGCAACAGGAAAACCGAAAGGTATATGTAACATAAATGCTACACTCAAGCTTTGAACTGCAAAAACAAGTGGTTGGGAACAATGGTGTTACATTCACAGATTAAGGATCGAGTCACCAGACGATCCGTAAGGAAATCTACTTCAATTGAGGGGGCTTTCCCCTTGTTACGATTCCTGCCACGAGAGTTGCTTATGATGAACAGGTGGGACTCATCGAAGGGAGCTTCCAATCTTAGTCTCGTTAGAAAATAGTCTTAGAACTATGTAATTAACTTCTCACTTAATCTTTATTGTCACCAATCAGCCTCTTTAAATAGAGGTTACATAGGTTTACTTGTTTAGATAAAAGACTTAAACTAAGGAAATTAAAAATAAGAATTCCATATATAGAAAGAACTCCTAATGCAATAAAGATGCTTGCAAAAGTAAAATATTATCTTATTTTCTAAAAATAATAATTAATGCAAATCAAAGCCCATCCTTGATTTCGCACGTCCTTTGCCTCCCATATGTCTTGCTGACAAAGGCATTCGCAATAAATGAGGATGGTGGTAAAGATGATAGAGTATGAGAACAGTATCGATTGTCTCATTACTGATAGGTAGTAAAACAATGATAACTCTTGATGCTAACATACTGCTTCAGCATGTCGAGTCCAACAACGGCATATTGAAACCTATGTCGCTAAAACTTGGGAGTGATTGATACGCTGTGTCTGACATGGATATGTCTAATTTTTTTTCAAAGTTTTCTATGCATTTGAAGGGTTCCCTGTACTAATGTCCAAATATGTGTCAAACATGGGTACGTCAAGAAATGAATAGTTGGAATAACATAAACCGAAACTACACCAACGAAAAGGAAAACCATAAAACTATATGATAAGAAAACAATCTATCTAAATGATTCATGTATAGTATAAATAACCACGTGACAAAGTTTACACAGCTCAACAATGGTGACAGACCAGCATGCGCTCAATGAGTGACAAAACAAAGCAACATTGTAGGAGCTTAGTTTTAAAAGGCACTAGGTTCACCGAGGCGCAAAGGGTCCCTGGAGCCAGGGCGCAAGGTGCAAGGCAAAGGCACGCACACCTTTCGTAGGCTAGGAGCACCTTTTATGCTAAAAAGTTTAAAAATTAATTCTAGAGTACATTCACACCCATTACCCACTGGATCACTCCAAAAGCACTTAATCTCCTCTCAACACCCCTTTTTTCACCATTGCTTGTCCCCTCCTTAAGAATCAAGACTCATTTCTATAATTCACAAGTCCTTAGTTTTCAAAGTATTTCAACACATAGTTAGGGTTATCCTAATTGTTTTAATATTTAAAACCATTATTTTATTTATTTTTAAATGATATAAATTAATTTTATTATCAATTTAAAATCTTCAACTATTATAAAAATCAACTTTTATATTTAATAAAAATTTATTAAATAAAATTATTAAATTTAATATTTTACTATTATAAAATTAATTATATATATATTATTAAATTAATTAATTAAAAAAATAAAAATATTATAAAAACAGTCCCTTTGAATAAACGCAGGTAACAGTGGAAGAAGCAAATTTTAGAATAGTCAAGATACAAAACTAGAGGATATTTTAAGAGTAGTTAAACACTATGCTTCAAATTCAACAATCATCAATGGCCAATAGTTTTATGAGGCTGCTCATTTCAATGGTGAATTACTTTCCCTTATTTTGATTCATGAGAATCATCACAAAATCAGACATTGGATTTACGATCAACATATTAGTTTTAGGGTTATATGCTATGACATATGTAAGTCAGTTCTATATGTATAAAGGATATGACCAGCTGTTACATACACCGATACCATCAAATCATTGAACTTGTCAATTGCTTTCAAGAACCTGCAACCAAAATGCAAATAAAATTTATTAAGTTATTGGAAGGTAGAAATGTAACTAACTATAGCAAAACAATTTCCCCAAGATAAGCTAAAATGGATGTATCTCGGAAAATAGAACCAACATCGCACTAGTGGTCCATGCAAGATCTTGAACAATATCCAGAGCGGCATGTAATATGAATTGATGCAGCTGAGCAGCATCTTCTCTCTGCATAGAGCAATGCAGTCAAAAAGGCAGAAAAAAAATAGTATCTTCTCACTCAAGGCCAAAAAGATACAAGCATAACAAACAAGTATTGTACAAGGTAAAAAGATCTCACAAGATTTGACCACACCTGATCATATTAAAAAAGTGGAAGAAAGATGAAACAAATAAAAATAAAAATTCGGTCCAATTTTTATCTCGCTTGGCATGTCTTGGTAAACATAGGAAGTTAAGGATTGCTCCAAGCAGTTCTGATAGTGATTGCTCGGAGGGTGAAGTCTCTGTTAGTTTTCACGATAGAGTGTATACAAGGGTGAATAGGGATTTGGTCAGGGATTCTTTGGATCAAGACAGTGTAACTTCGGAGTATAACACCCGCAGTTATAGCTAGAAATGAAGCCGCTGCCACCAGGGAGGTTTGTGATATGTTGAGGATTTCTTTTAAAGGGGGCAACATGTACTGGAAGAAGAGATTATGAAGATGGTGTTGAAAGGGTCTTCAACGGGTTCTTGAGTATTGCTGTCTGGTTGATAAGGTTATTCCATTGTTCAATTTTATGTCTCATCTAAAGATGATTTCCTGGAATGTTAGGGGGCTTGGGAAAAAGGAGAAAATCCGAGCAGTAGGTAGATTAGTTAGTAGTTGTAAACTGATCATTGTGCTTCTACAGGAATGTGAATTATTGAGGAAGATGGGGGGTACTTTGCTGAAAGGCAAAAGCATTCAGCCAGCTGTTGGATCTGCAGGTGGCTTAATATGTCTGTGGAATGAAAGTTTTTTTGAAGTCAGCAGGGAACATATTCATAAGAGATTCATTGCATTATCAGGGAGGTTTAAGGCGTTAAGTTTTGACTGCGTGATTATTAATGTGTATGGTCCAGCGGTAGAGGTTGATAAGGAGGAGTTTTTCAGAGAATTGATGTGTTTTGTACAAAGTTTGCAATTGCCAATATGCTTAGGGGGGGACTTCAACGCGTATCTAGATCCAGAGGAAAAAATTGGAGTGGCTCAAAATTGGCATTCTATGGATCTTTTAAACTTTGTCCAAAATCTTAATCTTATGGATCTTCCGTTAGTTGGAGGGAGATTTACTTGGTGCAATAATAGGGAGTTTTCCACTTGGATAAGACTTGATCGGTTTCTAATAAGTGATACCTTCTTTCAGAAATTTCCAAAAGTAAATCATAAATTGTTGCCGAAATCCTTATCTGATCATAATCCTCTGGTGCTAGAAGAAGAAGTCAACAACTGGGGTCCTAAGCCCTTCCGTTTTTTCAACTACTTACTAGAGGAAGATGGGTTTGCTGGGGTGGTTCAGAATGTTGTTTCTAATTTAAAGATGGAGAATGCCCGAAGGGGACTGCTGAGTCTACTCCAAGGAACAAAGAAAGTGATTAAAAAGTGGCCAAGCAGTAATAAAATGGGGATTTCTGAACAGATTTCAGAACTGGAAAACAGGATTAATGATTTGGATTTGAGGTCTCAAGGTGGGGGAATTTCTGCACTAGATTGGGGTCAGCTATTGTCTTGGAGGAATGAATTGTGGGATTTGCATAGGAAGGAGGAATGTATTTGGCTTCAAAAGTCACGACTTAAGTGGATAAAGGATGGGGATAGAAATATCAGATTTTATCACCTATGTGCTCTTAATAGGAACAGAGTGAATGCCATTTCATCATTGAAAGTGGCTGGGGAAGTTATTGCTGTTCCGAGTCAGATTAGAACAGCTATCTTAGATTATTTTAAACTCAATTACAATGCGAAAACAGCTCTGGAGGTAGATGAAATCAATCTGAATTTCGCCAAATTGACTGATGAACAAAAGGATGGTTTAGAGGTTGAATTTTCTGAACAAGAAGTGTGGGAAGCTGTCTTTTACTCGGACAGTGCCAAGGCACCTGGTCCGGATGGGTATACTATGGGTTTTTTTAAAAAATTCGGGCCTATATTGAAGGATCATATCATGAAATTTGTTCAAGATTTTCACAGAGGAAGAAAATGGGAAAATGGAGTTAATCACTCTTTTATTACTCTAATCCCCAAGAAAGTGAATCCAAAGGGCATTGAATACTTCAGACCCATTAGTCTTGTTGGCAGCCTATACAAAATTATTTCCAAAGTGCTTTCGAAAAGGCTTGTTTCGGTTATTAATGGCTTAGTAAGCCCTTCGCAGTTTGCATTTATTCCGGGTAGACTGTGCTCTTTTGGCAAATGAGGGCATTGACTATTGGAGGAAACTAGGGAGGAAAGGAGTTGTTTTCAAAGTTGATTTCCGTAGGGCTTATGATTCGGTTGAATGGCCTATCTTATTGAGAGTATTGAAGGTTATGGGTTTTGGGGAAAATGGATTTCATGAATTGAATGTTGTGTTTCTTCAGCCTCAATTTCGATGTTAGTGAATGGTTCTCCTACTGAGGAATTCCACATTAGTAAAGGGTTGAGACAATGTTGCAGTCTGTCCCCTCTCCTGTTCAATATAGTTGGGGAACTTTTAAACCTAATGTTGAACAAGGCTGATGAACTAGGTCTTTTCCAAGGGTTTAGCATTGGTAGGGTTGATAATTCCTTCCATTTGACACATTTGTAGTTTGCAGATTTAATCATTTTCTGCAGATTTTAAATATTAGGAGAGTTTTGAGGGTTTTCGGTGTTATGTCAGGGCTGCATTTAAACCTAAGAGCACTTTATTTGGCGTTAATATAGAAGTTGAACGATAAAAGATTGGGCTAAGAAAGCGGGCTGTGGAGTGGGGTCTTTTCCAATGTCTTATCTTGGTTTACCAATTGGTACAAGGAAGAACTCAGAGGGTATGTGGGATCCTGTAATCCAGAATTTTAATAAGAGACTTACAGGTTGGAAAGCTAAATCGTTGTCGTTGGCGAGAAGACTTGTATTGGTTAAATCTGTCTTGTCCTCCTTGCCCCTTTTTTTCTCTTTATTTTCAAAATTCCACTCAAAGTGACTCAGAAGTTGAACTCTTTGAAGGCTAACTTCCTTTGGGGAGAAGACCATGATAAGAAACGAATTCACTGGGTGAATTGGAAATCGGTTTGTCAACCTTTCGAAGAGGGAGGTTTGGGAATCCTTGATCTAAGTTTGTTAAATAGAGTCATGCTTAGGAAATGGGTTTGGAAATTTGCTAATGAAAAATATAGTCAGTGGAAAAAGTTGATCTGCTGTAAAAACAACGTTAGTAACCTGTCTCTTTTGATTTCTAAGGCTGCATCACCTTTTGATTCTTGGATATGGAGAGGTATCCTGAATAACTATGTGAAAAATGATCAGATTGGAGACTGTTTGAGAGATAATTCAAAGATCCAAGTGGGAAATGGTAGGTCGATAGCTTTCTGGACTGATGTTTGGGTTGCTGATTTGTCATTAAAAAATCAATTCCCCAGAATTTTTACTTTGTCGACTAATAAATGGGGGAAGGTATCTGAGTTTGGTGGGTTTGATATATTCAACTAAGAAGAAATTTATGTGATTGGGAATTGGACCAGTGGATCGCTTTAATGTCGTTGATTGACAATATAACGTTGTCCGGTTCTGTGGATGATTTTCTGGTTGGTCAGAAAAGGGGGATGGTATGTTCTCGGTCAAGTCTTGTAGATTGACATTATATGGCAGTTCTGAACGGAGTTTTGAGTGGAATAAGTTGATTTGGGCTGGATTGGCCCCTCCTAGAGTTCAAACTTTTTTGTGGTAGATTTGTCATCGTAAATTAGCAGTTAGAGTGGAGTTGAAGAAAAGAGGGATTCCTTTGGTGGATGTGCTTTGTCCCTTATGCCATTCCCATGAAGAAACCGTAGATCACCTGTTCTTATCGTGTTCTGTTGCTAGGGAGATGTGGAACAATTTTCTAAGGTTATGGGATATCTCTTCTGTGTTGTCGCAAGATCCATCTTCCCTTCTTTGCTCGTGGTCGAACCTTAGGTAGAATTCTCCTATTTGGAGGTTCATACCGGCTGTTGTTTTCTGGTCAATTTGGAAGGGAAGGAATCTGGTTGTATTTGAAAATGGGAATTTTGACAGCTCTATTATGTACTTTATCATTAGATTTAGGTTGGCTAAATGGCATTTAGCTGAATACCCTACTTTGCGAATTCAGACAGGCCTACTAGTAGGGGATCCTTCGCAGGCAATAAAATTCATAATTCTTCTATTCCAAAGAAGGTTATTGGCTGGACTCCTCCTCCAACGGATGTGTTTAAACTCAATGTCGATGGGGGCAGTTAGTGGAGATGGGATGCAAGGTGGAATTGGAGGTATTTTGAGATATTCTTACAGTTGTTCATTAGCCTTTTTCTCTACTGCAATAGGGCCTGGTCTTCCTACTTTGGCAGAACTGGAAGCTATTAAGGAAGGAATTGATTTCTTCTATTCTTCTGATTGGGCTAACGGAAGACTTATTACAGAGTGATTGCAAAAATGCAGTGGAATGGATTCTAAAGCAGCAATCTGCCCCTATTTTTTTCAGTGATCTGGTGGAGGAAATCGGGGATTTAATTACTGCTAAGGGCTTTGTTCTTAGATGGATTCCTAGGAGTTGTAATATGGAGGCTGACAGGTTAGCTAAGCAGGGGATCAGTTGAGTGTAGCAGGCTTATTGTTGTAATGTTTTGGGATTTTTCTTCGGGTTCTGTATAGGCTCAAATCTTGTAATAGTTTTTCTATTTTGGTAACAGGACTAACCATCAAAAGCTGCCGACCTAGCTTAGTCGGTTTAGCCTAAGTTAGTGTTATTGTTTTTGGATTTGTTATGGGTGTTGTATGGTTTTCTGTTTTAGATGGGGGTGTTGTCCTGGATGTATCTTATGTATTTTATGTTGTTGAATGAAATCCTAAGGCACTCTTTTCCTCCTTCCAATGATTAAGGAGCTTTCTTACAAGCTCCATTAATTAATAAGGGGTTTTTAATGAGGCCTTCAATTCTTATCCAAAAAAAAACTAGTTATGCCGCAAAAGTAACTAGATGATGTAATGAAATACTTCTGAATAACTAACTTGATACTAATAATTTTGATCAACTTAATGTAATTTTAGACAAAGAAAATTTGAAATGCCATTAAAATGTAAATGATCCTTCTTCATAAGACAAGCATGGATTATGTAACTGAAAAAGAAAGATCTAAATGCCCAAGAAAGAAAACAAAACAATTCTAGCCACTAGCACATCTTGCACAGTGAAAACAATAGAAATCATGCATCATATTTTTGGGTTTCCAGATATGCATAAAATAGAATTCATTATAAGAAATATATGTACAAAGAAAATAATAAACATCATACTTTAGCAAGAGACCCCACTTCAGCTTCATATATTGGGATATCATTTCGGCTCACAATGATAAAGCAAGCTGTACTTGTCATCCTTGCGTTATGGGAATATCAACTCCGGTTGACAGAACTCTAACATCAAAAGAGAGAAAAATGTAGGTGGTTAGGTTATATGGCACATAAAAGTGTAATACATGCAGAAAAGTGCACCAAATCACACACACAAACAGTAATTGAGTAAACAGAAGTTTAAATCGCACGGTTCCAGGAAAGGAGAATAAAAGAAGTGAAATAGAAAATAAAATCCTGACTGTAGCATACATGCTCCAAAGGCAAAGGGCTAGTTGACACAGTTTCTCAAACAGCATAGAGCATTTGGAAAGTTAAGAGTTTTGATTACAATTTTAAATCAATAAGGTTCTGCAGGTTATAAAAAAAAAGGTCATAGCTTCTACCAGTCTAAAGTGTACACATCCGCATTTGTGTGCAGTCTAAAGGAAAGGAAATATTCTCTGTAATTTGTTTCAGAGTTAATAGGCAAGATATCTGTTTTCTTTATTTTGAATTCCAAATGCTGTAGTAAAGCACAGTTGTACCAACAATCCAGTCTTTAAATGAAATTTAAGAAATATAGAAGAGTACATATTACATGATATAGACATAGATCAGTAAGATGGTTTGAAAGTAAAGAAAAATATGAGCGTTACACTTTACTCGTAGAATAAACAAGAACATGAAACTCATATAACTAACATTTTAGTCAATTTCTATATAATTCTAATTAGAGAAGCAACTTAGAATTAGAAATGGAATATTCATCAAACCTTTGAAGTGGACAAGCTGCAACTAGATTCACATAAATCTTTAACTATTGGGATATAACACTTTCGGTCAACAAAATATGATACCCTAACTTGTCATTTTTCATTAAGTTCTTGTGTCTGGTGCATACACCGACATTAGTATGAGAATATAACCTTCCAAATATTTAGAAGAAATCTATAAAAATAAGTTGAGTACATCCATGAATTAGACATGTGATATTTGTCTCGAACACTCATCCATCTCTAAGTTTTACAAGACTAAGAAGAAAATGAAACACGATCACATCCATGTCTTAGACTTATCTGTCTCGAACACTTACCCATCACTAAGTTTCCCCATAAGATGCCTAAACTACAATTGTTATACAAAGAATTTTTTTTCAGTTGCAAAAAAGAGCTCTTCTGCCTCAAATTTTCTAGCTAAGTTCTTCAATTGCAAACGAAAATTCAAACAAATAAAAAAATACATCTAATATATGGTAACACAAAATCTTGACCTAGAAATGCATCTAATCTATGATAACAAAAAAAATTGCTCCAATTTATCTTCATTTCATTCTATAATTTCAAGATTTGATGTTATAATAAAACTTTTATCCTCAGACAATCCCTATGAATCTCAAACTAGAAAACCCAGTATTTAACCGAGGCAAAAGCATTACAAGGAAAAGGAGGAAAAGGAAAGAAAATAAAAAGGGTAACTGGGCTATTTGATTCATACCTCAAAATACCGAATTTGAAAGCGATGAAAAAATAAGGTTAAAGGAGAAAATAAAAATGGATTACAAATCAATATATTTGTGTGGGGGGGGGGGGGGGGGGGGAGCAAGGGAACTTGGTTCGCACTGTCTAAAGCACGGGAGAAGGTTGACATAGGGTAAATTACTTGTCTAGACATTAAACTATAAGGACAGATATATTTTAACCACTCAACTATCAATTTTGTAAATTATATAACTAAATTATTAAAATAATTGGCAAAAAGACACCAGAGGCTCTTGCACTTTTTTAAAAAATCAATGTGATCCTTTAATTAACATTTTGACGTGAAAATTCACGATTCTAATGTAACAGTTCATGGTTCTAACGTTGTAGCCCATGGTAGTCGATGATGTAGTGAATGACATAGTAGATGCTCTAAATTGATTTTTTTAGGTTTTGTTCGAGATTCAAATTATTATTTTAAGTTCAAGGAATATTTTTTAAAAAATAAAAGTTATTTCAAATTATAAATATAAAATTATTCAAATATTCAAAAAAAAATATTAAATATTAAAAATAATAAATATTAAAAATAATATACACATTAAAATACTAAAAATATTATAATTTTTTTAAAAATGAATATATGTAATAGTTTATAAAATAATTACTTATAAATTATAAAATATTAAAAATATATTTTTGAAAATATATATTATACATAACATATACATGTAACATATAGATATATCATCAATACTTATACAAAGTATTCTTACTAGATCAATCGAGAATTACAAAATTTAAATTAGTCGAGACTTATAATTTTTGCATTAGTCGAAACTTATTATGTTTTCTAATTATCTTTTTGTAAGCCTTGACTAATTTGAAAGGTAATTATATAATAAGTTTGGACATAAAGGATCATTAGAAAACATAGTAAGTTCCAATTAATCTAAAATCTATATGTCTAAACTATTTTAAATTTTTTAAGTCACGATTAATCCAGTAAGAACATTTTGTATAAGTATTGATGATATTCCTATATATTACATGTATATATCATGTATAATATATCTTTTTAAAAATATTTTTTATTTTTTTAATAATTTATAAGTTATCATTTTATAAAATATGATATATATTCAAAAAATTAATTTTTATAATAGTTGTAGTAATTTTAATATGTATATTTAATTTTTTTAGTAATTTAATTTTTATTTTTAGTATTTTATATTTAATTTTTTAAATATTTGAATAATTTTATATTTAATATTTAAAATAAATTTTACTTTAAAATTTTTAAATAAGTCTTTGAACTTTTAAAAAATAATTTAACCCTCGAACAAAACCAAAAAACCTATTTATCTTAACTATCATGTCATCCGCCAAGTTATTACTCACCGTGAATTGTCACGTCCGCATTGTGACCTCTATGTCATTAACTTGAACTACCATGTTAGCATTGTAACATCAACTATAGAAAACGTTGGTCAAATTGTCACATTAGGTTTATTTTCTGAGTTGGAGGGTCACGTTGAGAGAGAAAAAATAATGCGAGGGTCACATTAATTTTTTAAACAGTAAAAAAGCCTCTTATTCCTTTTTAACAAAATAATTTAATCAAATCATTAACGAAAATATTGGTGGGAAACTAAAAAATTAGTTTAAATATAACTCTCAACCATTTGACATTAAATGCTCAAAATCCTGGCATTCTTGGTACTCAAACTCATTATCTCAAGGAATAACAAAATTCTTTTACCACTGAGGTCACTCAATTCATGCAATGTTGCACTTAATTATAAATGATAGAATTTTGTAAATATTTTAAATTGTAGTTAAATAACATATAAAACAAAAATAGATTTAATATTTTTACACCTTTTTAAAATTTAATTTAATATATTTTTATTTCTATAAGTATATATATAATCATTGAATTATATTTTTAAAATTTAATTAATAATTTTAATAATTTTATATTTGTATGTATATATACTTCTACATATATAATTAAAGTATATTTTATTGAAACCATATTGAAAAGAAAATATTGATATCAAACCCTAACGAGAACCACACTGAAGGAAGCCATGCAAATCCTACTTATGGGTTACCGGAGGCAACGAAGGGACAACAATCGGAAAGAGCATCACTGTTGAATGTGTCATCTTCATTGGAGATATATGGTCATCATTGGCGGTGGAAGACTAGAGAATGCTGAAGAATATGAAAAATTTCAGGTGGGTACAAATAAATTTTAAGGTTGACATCATCAATAAAATAAGAAACTAACTGAAAAAAATTCAGATTTTAGTGTCTACCCTCAAATGTACGTGGCTCCGCCACTGGATAAGAAAAATCGTCAAAGTGGACTACAACACACGAGAGAGAATGAGAAAGAAGCAGGTTTGCTTTATTAACGATTATGGTTTATAAATTATCTCTATCGCGCATTGAAATTGATGGTATGATTCAAAATATTGAGCATGAACGGTTACAACAAATCTACTACAATTATGGTGTCTACGGCCATACAAGACAGAGTTGTGAGATAGAGGAGGTGATGAGGATCGCACAAGGACCGTCGATTGTAATAAATCAAAAGGTGGAGGCTACCCCAAATAATAATAATGTTTAAGAGGAGCTCTTAGGTTCATGGATGATTCTTTAGGCAAGACGAGGTGATATGAGGAACGGAACCAGGACTTGAGAGGAGAAGCAAACAATGGGATATAATAGTGACTCGAGATTTGATATTTTAATGAAGTTGAAACGGAAGAGAAAATGGGAAGACTGATGAAAGATGTTGGGATTTAAATAACAGAATAGGGATGGGAGAATCACAAAATGAGTTGATGAAAATGGGAAACAAAAAACAGTTTTCCAATTGGAGGTGGTCGCAATAAATGGAGGGCCTGTCCATAAGGATTTACAATGGTCGAGTCGGTTTGGGTCGGATTTTCAGTCTATCTTATATGATCAGAAAATTATAAATCCTTCACTTACCCGAAAAATATACAACTTGCACCCGATCCGAATCCGACCCAGTTTTTTAAGATAAAATTCAAATCCGATCCGACCCTACTCGAAATAATATATTTATTAAAAATATTATTTTTATTCAATAAAAATAGAGATTTAATTGAAAGAAAACAACATATAGAATAATATTATTGCAATTATCCCTAAATATATAAGGTAAAATTATAATTTTTTAAGGTCAGGTGGGTCGGATATTTTTCACCCTAAACCCGAACATAACCTTAAAAAAACCTGACCCAAACCCAATTTTTTTTAAATCCAACCCGATCAGGTCAGAACCCGTCGGGTTCATGTCCATGCAATCTCTTTGTCCAAGTGATGCATCACGATATGAATGTGAAAGTAGGACAACACAAGGCATAAGTTATTCTGGATGGAGAGAGGGAAGTTGGAGGAGGAAAGTATGAGAAGAATAAGGAGAAAAACTCCAAGTAGAATTGTTAAGAAAGGGGTTCTAACGAAAAAAATAAGGTTGTTAAAGCTCCCACAAAACCATAGCTTTTGGAGTGGATGCATGAGATATCAAATAAAATAGATATGACAACAAGGAAAGAGGCTTTTGAGGAAAAGGGCTTGTTAACCTTCAAGACAATGGTGATACTAGGGGCGGAATCCAAGGTTCCTAAAGTTTGGTGTACTCGACTTGAGTTGCATAAGATTAAACCATCGCCTCTATTGTTTCATACAAAGCAGAAATAATATAATAAAGAAACTCATATTTTCAAGTTGTTGCATGGCTCGAGCACCCAGTTTTCAAAGAATTACTTAAGAATAGTCGGGAGGAAAAAAATGACATCTTGACCAATATTGAGGCTTTTCAAGCTAAGGCGACAACTTGGAATATATACAAGGAAAAATGATTATGGCGAGAATCAAGGGTATTGAGAAGGCATTACAATCTAGATACTCAGATTTTTTAATGAACCTAGAAAGCCGACTTAAGGAAGAGCTAGATCTAGTGTTAGAATAAGAAGAAAACTTGTGGTTTCAAAAATGCGATAAATAACAGGTTTCCGTTTGAGACAAGAAGACCAAGTTTTCTCATACATCTATCATGTTAAGGAGGAGAAGGAAAGCAATAATGAAAAAAAAAACGAGGAAGGTGAATGAGTGACAGGTCAAGATGAGTTGAAACCACTGGTTGTGAATTTTTTCAAGAAACTTTTTAAAAGCTCACGAGTAAAAGATAAGGAATATTTGATTAAAGGCATGTTTTCAAAAATAGAACATAAGGTTGTCCAGTGTCTTTTATGTCTGGTTGATGAGGATGAAGTTATATATGTATTGTTCAACATGGATCTTTTGAAAAAATTGAGAGTAGATGGATTAAATGCTCTTTTCTTCTAAAAAAATTGGGAAGGGATAGGCCCTAGTGTATGCTTAAAAGAATTTTTTTGCGATAGAAACAGGATGAAAATCTGAACAAAACCTTGATAATGCTTATCCTTAAAGTCGAAGCACCAAAGCGAGTAACTTAATTTTAACTGATTAGTCTATGTTCTATGATATATATATATATATATATATATATATATATATATATATAGGTGATCACAAAGCTAGTGGTCTATAAGTTAAAGTCATTATTCAGTAAATGGATATCATATAGGTAGTCAAGCTATGTATCGAGAAGATCCATAACGGACAATATAATCAGAACTCAGAAAGTAATACATTCCATGAAGAAGAAAGGTGAATGAGGAGGTTGGATAACAATTAAAATAGATCTAGAGAAGGCATACGATAGATTAAAATGGTCTTTTATAGAAGATACACTTTAGGACATTGGTATTCCAGATGGTTTGAGTAAGATTGTAATGAATTCTATATTGCCAGTCTCGATTCAAGTGATTTGGAATAGGACGACAACAATGACCTTTAAATTAACTAGGGGTATTCGATAAGGGGATTCGATGTCTCCATATATTTTTGTTCTATGTATAGAAAGATCAGTTCAAGCTATTAAAAAAAGTGCACGATAAAAGGTGGAAACCCTTTAAGATCTTAAAACAAGACAAGAGTATTTTATATTTATATTTTGTTGACGATATGATTCTATT